AAAATGCACTTTTGTGCGCTCAAAATATGATCTTTCGCGTGCAGAATTGTGGCAGAAATGTAAGCCCATAGATTTTTTTAAGGCGAGACACTGCAGGTTAATATGGTAAAAAAATTTACTAACTAATTTGCATACATTTCTAGTACAAAAATCTAAACACTGGATTATGTCAGTTTCAAAATTCTTGTTTAATTTTTTTGACATATTAGAGTCAAATGTTTTTACAGAGGGAATTCTGGGTCTCTCTTTTTGTCACTCCATAATTCAGAAAAAACTTTGAACAGCCAGAAAACAATATATTTTCACAATTTTGGGGGGAATAAAATGTTGTATATAATCAAGAAAATTATATATGAACAAATCCCTCTGTAAAAACCTTCAGAATATAGACAGGAATAAAAATGTAAAGTTTGGTGTGTGTAAGTGCTACTGAAGTGGAGATTTATGGCTCAGTGTTGGAGAAAAAACTCATTTTGAGAAAAGGGCCTTTAAAAATATGTACTGTAATTTAAATCTATTGATACAAATAGATAAAGTGCTATAAAAGAAACACTTAACAGTGTCTTTTGGATGTTTTCTTTCCACTAGTCTGAAAAAACACTTTATGAAAAACCAAAAAGCCCAAAATCTCAAAATTGACAGGTGCATGAAAAAAAACTGTGTTTTTGCCGGCAGTGTCTCCCCTTAAAAACGGAAGAAGGAAAAACTCAGTTTATAAAAATACCCGTGTACGTGTGGACATGGCCTGAAAAGCAAACTCTTGCAACCTCAAAGGATGCATGAGCAAATACAGATGAGCTATTGAGGAATGAGTAGCTACAGAAATGAGTAGCAAAAGGAAGGAGAATAAAAGGCAAAGCTTGGCTGCAACTCACTTGCATGTCTGACAGACTTTGCACTCGGGGCACTGCCAGCCTGCCCTCTTCAGAGGAGTGACGCTGATGTCCAGACACATGCCGTGATAGCGTAGCCCACAGCTGGTGCAAAAAAGCTGGTCCAGGAGATCCCCGGGGCTGTCGCACAATATACAGTTCGCCTCTTCTTCATCTGAGACAGAGAAAGAAAGATGAATGAAAAAATAAATGTGAACTAAATCCAAGCTTCTAAATCCATGCCCACTTTACATGACCTAATCCAATTCCCAATGACTTTTAGAATTAAATTAAATAATTATTTAAGTATATTAAATATCCAACATTGATGATAGTATAAAAAAAGGCCAATAACTAATATGTATTTTCAATCTCAACTCTAAAGAAAAACCTCTGACATTTTTAATAAAGGCATATTTTTATGTTGTCAGTTCACTAGTGAGAGATCCTCTATGATTTTCAAAACAACAAAAACATCTAAGACTGATTTCTTTGGCAATGAAAAGGCAATAAAATAACTTCAAAAAAAAAAACTATCAAAAAATGACGTCTTATCAAAGTAAATGTGAGTAGTCATGCACCGTGTTATTCATCAAGAATGCATTAAACTGATCAAAAATCATGATAAAGACATTTATAATCTTACAAAACACAAAATCTCCACAAAAACATTGAGCGGTTGACATTGATCATAATCAGAAATGTTTCTTGAGCAGCAAATCAGCATATCAGAATGATTCCTGAAGGATCATGTGACACTGAAGACTGGAGTAATGATGCTGAAAAACAGTCAACTTTAAGTTGTAATAATATTTCACAATATGACTGTTTTGCTGTATTTTGTTTAATAACAAAAACTTTTTTGTTTGGAACTTTTGAATGGCATTGTATGATAATGAGTTAGAATAAGTTGATTTTGCGGCTGCGTTTCAGTCAATGCTCTTTTTGAACTGGGAATTGGGAGTCTGAAAGTTACAGTATGTTTTTTATAGTACGTCAAGGTCTTGCTTTGAACGAGTGCATAAAATAAATTTTATAAGAGCAAATAATAAAGACGGTTCTCACATTTGCTGACGGCCAGCTCAATGTGCTCTGTGCACAGGACAGAGCGCCTCCTGAAGTCCTGAAAGGTGCCGGCGGCCCCCGCGCAGGGGTAATGGTACGAGCGATCACACCCCTCCTCACAGCACTTGATGGATGCTCCAAGGCGCTTACAATATGCACAATGCTATAAAAGAAAAGAGTCATAATTGATGAGACACTAACAATGCAGACTCCAGTTCTGATGCTAAAACATGTTAAAAGAGGGCCATCAATTATTTTAACACTGTCTATAGTCCTTAACTAAAACCTTACATGCATTAACTGCTCGTCACATAATTAACATTCAAGATTAAATGTCTGACAACTAATATTAAACCAAACAAATCTATACAATGAGACATGAAAGCTGACAGTGTAATGCCTGTGGTCAGACTAACAGCTAGGGAGAGCTGTGACATAAACCACAATGATGACAGACTGACGGATGTGTAATTATCCAATCATGCCTGTAAGCGCCCACAGACCACAGACGAGAGGGGCCAATTCACGAAACGGTTGCGCCACTATTGTGTGCAGTATCTCAGCGCCATGTATTGAAATGAAGTTATTGTCATCTAGATGTGCAAAGTCAAGTGCACTTTCTGCGTATGAAAGAGCAGATTCAGGTGTGTGAGTGAGAATGATGCAGTCACAGTAAAGTACAGCAGACTGCAGTAATCTGCTGAATCTTCCACAGAAATGTGCTCAGAACCAGCCTGCAAACTGGGAAATGCACTGTGAAACACTCATTTTGGGGTGTGGGATCTTTTGGGAGGCCTTTATACAGATTTGCATAATTCCTTTTGTGAACTGGGAGTTAAAACAATGCAGCATGTACAAATAAAACAATGTTATCAGCAATTAAGTGAATTTTCATTTGGGTGAACTATCCCTCTCATCATACTTTTCAACACAATCGAACTCTCATCATAATTTTATTCTCACCAAACTTTTCATCATACTTAAACTCTCAGCTAGTCTCGAAAAATACCATTATTCAATACCATTTTCAAAACCACAAGTAAAAAATTGCCATGACATTAGGGGCATAAAATCTGAATAGTATCTGGGTAACTTTACTTTTCACCATATTCAAAGGTTTTTTGAACATTAAAGCATGTCAACATATTCTGTTACACCAAATACACAAAATAATGATCTTTAAAAAAGCATCATATGACCCCTTTAACAACTGAAACTCTGCTGTCTGAGATTCTTCATGTCTAATAGCTCTGAGTGGGATTATATGATAATAATAATAATCACATTTTAATATTTAAAAACACATATATTAATTATTTCAATTTATATTAGTAAAATTACAAATATTATGACTTGATTTCAATAGTTAATCCTTCAAGCGTTTATTTTGGAGGAAAAGACTTTTAATTGTCTGTGATAACAAGATTACAAATTTGGAAAAAATACTGTAATCTGTTATACATTAAAAGTAATTTTGACGTAATTATGCAATATATAAAACAAAATCATTAATTCATAAATTACTATAAAAAAATTGCCAGTGTTATCATTTACTAAAACTAGTGAAACAGTTTTTTTAGTTGTTAATTGGAATAAATAAAAATATTAATATTAAATGAAAAACTTAAATAAAATAAAACAAAGATGATGTACCAAAATCACTAAAACTTAAATATAAGTAAAGCCAAACAAACAAATCCACAAAAAAAAAAAAGAGGAAATTGATTGATTAAAATACACTAGTGTGTCAACTTTAAGTCTGAGAGAAGAACAAGAAAGCGCAGCTGGTAATGGTGCATCAGTACTTGGAAAATGAGTATTAAAACAGTTTTGAATATTCATAACCAATATGTATCGAAAAATCTACATTTTTGACAACATTACTCAGAATAATCACATATACCCTCATCAAGCACCAGCATCTGCC